CAATGTTAGTACATACTTCTTTCTCTACCTGTGACTTGTATAATTGGAACAATCACAATCGCCCTTCTCGGAGTAACTCAAATAGGATGGCAGAGTTGTTCCTTTCCATTTTCTACAGATCCCGCCTGAAAATGCATGCGCCTTGCAGGTGACACTGTTGCAAGAAGAAATAATGACATTCCTTTCCATATTCAACAAAAGGTGAATCCAGAGGTCGGGACATCAGAAAGGCCTGGGTGAGCCACGTCAGCCGCGCCGGTTAAAATTACTTTAAAACCTAGATCACCTGTTATAAATGAGAGGCAATATCCCCTCCACAAGGAAGCTTTGGAAGCGATCGCACTACTGCTGCATTGGTACATACAAACTGGACTTTTAAAATTTTGCCAGTTTCTATACAAAACCCCTATCTTACCGGTGTTGAAACCAGGGACAAGAGAATATGGGTCTGTTCAAGACCTATGGAAAGTCAACCAAGTAGTAGAGGACATTCACCCGATTGTGCCAACCCATATACCCTCTTGGTTACTATAGCCAGTTAATGTGCTCGGTTTTCAGTACTGGACTTGAAAGATGCCTTCTTTTGTAATCCTCTACACCCCGAGTCTCAGCCTCTATCTGCCATTGAATGGACTGATATTAAAACAGGGAATTGCTGTGGGGGTACTATCTCAAACCTTGGGACCAGCCAGGCGACAGTGGCCTACTTTTCAAAACAGCTGGACAACGTGGCCAGGGATGGCCCCCTTGTCTTCGAGCCGTGGCTGCAACATGTGACCTGTTACAGAAAGACGAGAAATTTACCCTTGGAAAAAGTTAAGTGTAAACACACCACACACAGTTTTGCCTCTTTTGGAGGAAAAGAGGGGTTTTTGGCTCACGGCAGGACAGATGGGAACATGTCAGGCAATCTTGTTAGACAACTCAAATGTTCTGATGGCTCTCTCCTCTCTCAGTCCTGCCACATTGCTGCCTATTTTGGAAGACGCCCCCGTACATGACTGCCTAGAGATAATTGAAGAAGTTTATTCTAGCAGACCAGATCTCTCAGAGGTTCCCTTGATTGACCCAGAGATAGAAATGTATACAGATGGTAGTAGCTTTGTATATTAAGGATGCCACAAGGCAGGATCTGTGATGGTGACACGAGCTGAGGTCTTAGAGGCAGCTCCACTTCCTGCCCGCACTTCAGCTCAAAAGGCTGAACTCATAGTCCTCGGGCAGGCCCTGCGACTAGCAGTAGGAAGATGCATAACTGTGTATATCGATAATAAATGTGCCCATCTGGTCCTTTACTCACATGGTGCCTTGTAGAAAGAAAGGTGATAACCAAGGTAGAGAAAAGAGACTGGGTCCTTTCTCTGAGAGCTGTCATAAACACTGTTAATCAGTATGCTTCTTCTCATTTGTCTTTTCCTTCTGACACTCCCCTCCACAGGTTCCAACCCGGAGATCGGAGGTGAAGTCCTGTGGAAAACCTGGAAGAATCAAACCCCGGGAGATCAACTGGCCCCTCAGTGAGAGGAACTTTTTGAAGTTCTCCTGACCACCCACTCGTCTCTGAAATTAACAGAAGTAGCTGTGTGCACGCATCCCTCAAGAGTGAAAACAGCCCCACCAAAAGAAGAGAAAGAAGCAGACAACAGAGAGCCACCGTACTCTTGTACTCCAATTCAGGGCCTGAAGTGCAAGTTCAAGAAGCTTACAGTATGATGGTTTTGATGTTATTTCCTTCTTTCTTTTTTCCAGCAGACCTGCACAGAAGAGGTGCCTGTGTTCCTACAGGCAAAGGGGACACTGACCCTGTAACCTAGGGACACTCTGACCCTCCCGTGTGTAGTCTCAACCCTAACTCCAGTAGGTGCAGTAAAGTGGGCCATAGAAGAGCCCAAAAGAAGAACCTTCAGAATAATGATTATTCTAGTTAGTTTTTGTGTTCCCTGTTTTATGAGAATCTTAACAAAAAGAACTACAGATACTCCTCAGGCTAGAAAAATTTTTACCCTGGTTAGTCAGGATGCCCCCTTTTCAACCTCTGAGGATGAATGTCATCTAATTCACCAGGATGCAGCCAATTTCCACTCTAACTCAACCCCCGTCTATAACCCCTAATCGATACCGGGAGGTTTCTCACCCCAGTGATGCCCCTAACCAGCAGGAAGTAGCCAGAAAAGAAGTGACACCTTGTTTCCCAAGATTGAGAAACTTCTAATAAAAGGGGAGATTGGAAGAGGCTGAATAGGCCCGGCTCACTATTATTTAGCCCCACTGCTAACCGCCACATTGTCTCATGACCTTGTTTTTCCCTCCAGTTCCAGTCTCTACAAAAGGTTTAAGATTTACCAACCTACCTCCTTGGAGGGTGGAGAACAAGTGATAATGATCTAAGAATGACAAGCCAAACAAACCACCCATCTTGGGACAAGAAAACCATGATGTCGCCAGATAACCTCCAAGAAAAGATTAACTCATCTGGGACGTGACCGCCTCAATGGGGGAAGTAATACAAACTTCCAAGACCCATAATCCTGTGCCTATAAAAGCTTTCAGCTCATGTCCAGTGAGGGAGATGGTTTTTTTTTTTTTTTGAGGAATCTATTCCCCTCTGTCTGCTATATATTGATACATAATAAAACTCATGCTGCTCACTTCACCCCTGTCTTGGTGGTCCCTGCACCCAGAATTGGCTTTTGTGTCAGGCAGCTCCAATCCGCGTTATGGGGTAACACTAGGGAGCCCCTGGGAGTTTCGGGCAGGGAAATGCGATGATTCAAATTCTTTGTGGAGAACAGGTCTCAGCGAGCAGCAAGAGGGGAAGCAAGGAGATGAGCTAAGGAAGGGTTCCCTAGACCAAGGCTGTCAAGTAGAAATATAGTGTGAGGCACATATGTAGTTTTAAATTTGCTATTAGCCGCCTTAAAAAAGTGAAAAGGAACAAATGCAGCTGGTTTTAATAACATATTTTATTTCACCCAAATTAACCAAAATATTATTTCAACAATATAAAAAATATTGAGTTTTTTTTACATTCTTTCCTTTTGTTCTAAGTCTTTGAAATCTGATGTGTCGTTTATATTATGTATAGCAGCAGTGACTACAGAGTTATGTGGGTGGGTTACTTGGAGCCCCAGTCTGCAGAATGATGAGCTCAGTCTACTTTACATTTACATTTACATGGATTTACATCTGGGTTCTCAATTCTGTTCCATTGGTCAATGTATCTGTCGTTGTACCAATAGCAGATTGCTTTGAATACTGTAGCTGTATAGTAGGTTCTGAGGTCAGGTAGTGTGAGTCCTCCAACTTTCTTCTTCTTCTTCAGTAGTGCTTTATTTATTCGGGCTTCTTCCCTTTCCATATAAATTTATGATTAGTTTTTCCATCTCTTTGAAGAATGTTGTTGGTATTTGGATCGGGATTGCATTGTATTTGTAAATTACTTTGGGTAGAATTGTCATTTTCACAATGTTGAGTCTGTCTATCCATGAGCATGGTATGTTTTTCCATTTATGTAGATCCCTTTGGGTTTCTTGCAGTAGTGTTTTGTAGTTTTCTTTGTATAGGTCT